AAAATCGAAAATTATTTTATACCCAAGCATTGTGATGATGCTAGTGAAGAAACTGAAACTGCTTAAAAGTTACTCATTACAATGAAATTTACGTTAAAACGCATAACCCAAGCCGACAGCGATGTCTTCTCTGGTAATTAAGGCAAGATTTATGTCTGTACACTGTGAGATAAAACACATACTGATAAGCGTCATGAAATCAGATACTTAACATATTTGTATAAAATAAAATAAACTGCATCAGTTAGACAGCTGTCTGCTATGCCAATGATAAGGAGCGCAAATTTCATTTTTCCCCCTTTTCTTACTATCGGAAAACGCAAATACAAATTAAAACTGCAATACGAATACATTCTCATTAAAACAAAGGGCGTATTTATAAAAAATTATTTACAATCTACGACATAATAACTTGGTGTTAAAAGGCGATTATGTCTATTTTATTTGCTTTATAAACTGCATTTCTAAGCAAATTCAGACATGTTACAAAGAAATATAAATATTTATTTTATATTACATTAAGCATAATCAATATTTTAAAAAATAGCACTGAATTATTCAGTTATGGCAAAGGACCTCACGTCTTGAAGCAGACACACAGGAAAGAGGATTTTCCAAGTGAAACTGGCTGGTATTTAAAGTTCGTTACACAATAGGGGCGGGGATAAAACATCTCTGCAGCCAACTCATTCAGCCGCAGTTTAAATTGTGAAAATAGGAAAGAGAATATGCTAATTTACATTAGTATTTAGTGATTTTTCGCATGGTTTTTGACTTAATGGCATGGTTTTTGACAAATTAAATAACGCTTAATTGGATATCTCATATGCCATAACAGGATAAAAAATTATTCATAATAATAGTGGCTCTGTTACACTAATTCAAATATAACGAAAAAATATAAAGTATATAGATAAGGAAAATTAGATAAGTAAAGAATATAAATGTGAAGTTCGTTTCACATAAGGAAGATGTAAAGCTACGATGAACAAATCAAAACAGTGAACTGAAGTCATGTTTGAAATACTAAAAAAATAATAATAATAATAATAATAATAAAATAAATAAGAACATTACTCATGAGCTGCAACTCATTATAAGTCACCCCAGGTGCGCGATATAGCAATCTGCTATATGTTTGATAATTCCTAAAGGAAATAAGGCATTCTACTCATATGTTAGAAAGTCCTCCACGAAAGTATCCCTCCCCTTAGGCAGATAGCTCTAGTGTGCTTTACCATAATTCAATAAACCTAAACCATATACTCATATGCTACTGCGGTGCAACTGCTGACATCGCTGAGGCACACCCAAGATCCTGTGGTAAGGCACAATTTATTTTTAGGTGAATTCTCACTCTTAAAGCCAGTTTTTTCATATCTGGAGCTCGAATTAAAAAGGTAATGGTAAATACTTATCGAACTGATTGGCTAAATTTGGGAGTGGGGTGCTGTCCAACCTCCCACATCGTTTTTAAGTGGAAGAATGTAACATTAAAATATTTCTCCCATGCTTCTCTTACGGTGTAACGGTTAGCATATGACCCTAACCTAAAAGAGTACTTTTTTTGTTATACCTGCCCCCAACCATACTTGGCGATTTTAGATTTGCGCCAAGAGTTGTAATTTCAGCAAGCTCGTAGAGCGCGAATGTAAAAATAAACAACACAATATATAATAATAACAGTTAACACTCACATATCGTTTCCTAAGAATATTCTTAAGAATCCTTACTATCATCATTTTATCACGTGTAATTATTCCAGTCAATTGTAACAGACAGGCAAATTAAGCTGTTTCTTACACCATTTCATGGACGTCAACTCCTCTGGCCAAGAATACATAAATCTAATAGCAGTGACGAACGATATTCTGGAACCGCTGAACTTATTTCCAGCACAGAGGCAATTCTTTTTTTGAATTTTTAACATCGCACCTTCAAATGATTTCGTCGTTAACCAAGTTTCATGTTGTGGCCATTTTTGCACACTCGTTTGTCATGCAAAAGACCTCTTTTTGGAAAAAATGACATGGCATCCACCTCATTACTTGGTAAATTAAAGATTGTAAGTCCTATTCACACACAAAAAAGCGATGAATATATTTTAAAGTAAAAATGCAAATTCGAAAAACTCGTCAAAAATGAATAATAGAAGAACACGCGGCGAGAGAGCAAAAATGCAACACGGTGCTAATATACAATTACGTTGCGAGGTATAAGAACACGTAGCCAGTGTTAATATACGACTACGTGGCGAGGTACAAGAACACGTAGCCAGTGTTAATATACGACTACGTGGCGAGGTACAAGAACACGTAGCCAGTGTTAATATACGACTACGTGGCGAGGTACAAGAACACGTAGCCAGTGTTAATATACGACTACGTGGCGAGGTACAAGAACACGTAGCCAGTGTTAATATACGACTACGTGGCGAGGTACAAGAACACGCAGCCAGATCTCGGAAGCCGCATTACCAGAAAAGTACGCACAAAAGTTAACGTCTTCGATTCCGGGAGAACACTAGTTTATACTCAAATACGTCTTGCTCCTGACTATCCCGTTTGGGGGGGGGGATACATTTAAAAATTTCAGAAGCAAAATTAATAAATAAAACTAAGAAATTACTTATAATAAAACCATAATAATGCTTGATAAGCTTAATAACAGTTCACCTATAACAAAGTATCTTTCCACCATAACAGTACGCTCTCTCCAAATGTGGGCACAAAACAAAAGTGGGCACACAACAAAAGTGTACTACATTTATTACAACGCCTGAAATTCTCTTCCAGTGGAACAGAAAATTAAATGAGGAACGACAGAGAATTTCATTTTCTCGTTGTCTTAAATGTACATTGTTGGTTTATCTTTTTAAATCGAACCGTTCTAATGATATGTTTACCTCACCTTCCCGCAAACGAGACAGAAAAGATAGCTGTATTTGCACTAAAGATAACGTTTCCATAAAGCCATCATAAAAGTTGTTTAGAGCAGCCTTAATGTTTTCCATTTGAAACGGAAACCCCAGGCAGCTACAGAGCGAGCACGAGAGAAATTTTGATTAACTACGCATATCAATTTATCTTAAAAACTGTTTAATTGCTATGTTTTAATCTGAAATGTTTTTCGTATCAATCTAATGGAAATTTTTTACGTAACATTAAAAATGCTTTCATTGTAAAGTTCGGGAAGGCACTATTTTTATTTTTCAACTTTCAGTTTGGTACTAATATATTGCGAAGAAATTTGAAATTTAAATTATTAGATTCCATAGCTGTCCACGCCCTTTTGTAATAAAATAATATTCTGTTTTCCTACGATGAAGAGTTATAGCATTACGACAGTACTCTCTTACCAACAGAATTACATTTCAGAATACTGTATTCAAGAATTGTAAGCTACAAAAACTTATCCTGAAAATTACACCCCATCTTTTGTAAGTATTTTAATATAGCTCAATTACAGAACCTGAAAATATTCCAAATAATCTGCTTCGCGCGAGACTTGGAATTATCTTCCTAGCAAGTATAAATTGCTAATTCGCTCTTGACTCAAAAACACAGAACTCCGTTCGCCTTTTGTTTACTAAAATATACTACTTGAACAGAATTTGTTATCCATACATTAATGAATTATATACATACAGGAAGTTAGTTAATCTTCCGGGCAGGGCAAATCGAAAGCAATCGATTAGTTATTCAAGTTCAGAGGTCTTCCGAAGATTAATTATGTATTCATACTCACTCCGGCGCTAATTATGATTGTTCGCATTCCGGTGAACGCATTAACAAGTGCACACGCAAAGCTTTTCGCCTAGCTTTAAGACAAAGATATGATATAAACACTGAAAATAAAGACTTATATATGAGATTTAAAATGCATTATTATTATTATTATTAAGCAAATTTTGTGCTCAAATTAGAGGAATTTGAAAATTTTGTAATGCAGTTTTTAAATACGTGGATGCATTAAGTTTCCAATAAAAGATCGTAAAGCTGCGAAACATTGTGAAAGAACGCCGCAGAAGCGAGTATTCCTTGAGGACGTACGTCATTTATCTTTTCTTCTTCAAAAAAGACACTATCGCTAGCAGCAGCAACCTCTGTGAATTGAACAAGACAAAGTTAAACAGATTAAGGAAATTAATCCGCCACCCTCTTCAGAAGCTTCATTACAGTCACCCTAGAATTAATTGTTAGACAATTTCTCGTAGCAAATTTCTCCTTGGCACAGATTACTAGGGTAGTCTTCGAAGGTTAACGGAAAACAGAACGAAGTCCCTTTTCCTCGAATGCTGATGAAAAGTTCATATGAATCACAGCTGGAATTAAAAGTAAAATGCATAGCTACAAAATTTCGTTTTATTGGATATAAAATTAACGTTTTGCGTGTTAAACAAGTGAAGAATGACACAAGAGTAATAACACCCCTTGGAATATTGGATGTTGCGAGTGGGAAATCGCTGCCTTGAGTAGCCTTTGAAATTCTTATCACGTAATTTTGAATATGAATCTAATTTCACACGACACACGTAATTAGCTAATTTCGATACAATAACTGGATTTTTATTCACTCGCACACACAGAAAGAAGTGACCCAATACACGACTTCAACTTATCATGCGGAAACAAATTTTTAGTTCGTTCGTTGCAGAGCTACACAATTTTTGAAGCATTAATATATTTAATAGTTTCGATTATTTTAACAAAATAATTGAGCCCAGAATTTCGGTTTAAATTTTACCTTAATTGAAGACACATTGCATTTTCTCCCCATTTGCTTGCCAAGATATAATTTTATGCCTAAAAACAATTTACACAATTAGTAATCCTGCTTTGTAACTTAATTCGAAAAAAAAAAAAAAAAAAAAAAAAAAAAAAAACTTCTTGCGCAAAATTGCGCAATTTTTAAGCTTCAGAAACCATGTCAAAACATAACTCCTATTTGTCTGTAGAGACAATAGGATTTTTTAACCTGGAAATTGAAGAAATGAGCAATGTCCTCGCCGGGATTCGAACCACGGACCTCTCGAATACAGGTCGAGCATGCTGACCATTACACCACGAGGGCATGCTAAGAAGGCGGGAGAAATACCTTATATGTTAACGTCAGAAGATGTTGTAAAATATTGTTTTCCGTATTTTTTACAATGATTAGTCAGTTAAGAAAAGGTAGAAGGTGCTCCCTAAACAGAGTTAGCTGATGTTTTTATGAAAAGAAATTTCGCATTCAAACACTAACATCTTCTTCTTCATTTTCCACTCATACCATCTTCTTCGTACATTCATCTTTGTTCAGGTACAGTAAAATTAAATCTTCTTCTACTTTATTTAATATTTGTTTTTATATGTTTCGTATTTAAAGATTTCAACCGATTTTGGGTTATAAACTTATGAATAAAGTACTACTGTACAAAAGCAATCGCTTGTGACCCAGGAACAAATTAATCTATTTTACATTAATTCTTACGGGAAAATCGTTTCGGTTTACGAAAACATTTCTGTTGACGTTTAAATGAATCTCTGAAGCGAATTAAGTTCGTTAACCGAGGTTTCGCGGTATTTCCGTGTACTGCGGCAAATGAGAGAAGGAAAAAACTATTGAAGGGTTAGTGTAAAATAAAAAGGTACTCAAGAAGTTCATTAGATTAATCCCTACACATTTTAGCTGCCACAAACAAAACACTGTCTATTAATGGCCATGTTTAAACATTTATTAGAATAACTAACCATTTTTTCCCACTGCCATCATAGGGAGAGCAACCACAAATAAAGAAGCGACAGGTGATGTTTTCCTTAAAATAACTATGATGAGCTTCAAATCCTCGAGATCTTGTCGCTTCATTAAGAGAGTTTTTACACTTTTTCTTTGTGGTTAATGAGCTGTTACCTTAACAAGGAAGTTTCCAGCATTCGAATGCAGGACATAACTAAAAAAATTTCTTACATAATTTTGCACTGAAATTAAATATTGTAATTTTATAGTAAGACTGATATATATATATATATATGATCTTAAATTCACTTAGTTTCGAATTAAAATGTATAAACACGAGGGTGTCGGGGGACAGTTACTCGAGCAATATCAATTTTACTGCAAAAATTGCTTTTCACTCAAAATTGAATTAGCTACAATGCTTAATCGAGTTCTTTGTTTCTCTGCATTGGTTCTTGATCCCTTCTATTCACGAAAATATTTGGCCTAGCTTGAATTGCCGGTTTGGCATCGCCTTATTACTCGAGTAAAGGACGAAACACCTTCGTATTTATTTCTTAATTATTGTTCATTGAACGGGAGTTGGTTTGTTCCTCTTGAAAAGACAACTCATTTCCGATCAAGAGCAATAATTATTTGCGTTTAATTTAATTACTTGCTTTTAATTTATTTCTTTTTACAATTGAAATTTTTTTATTCATGATTTAATTCCAAGTCCCCGTTAAACATTTTAACAATTTACATTCAATTACTTTAAAACAATTTTCGAAATTGAACTTACTAACTATGGATTCACTCTTTTAAGATAATTCTACTAAAATTAATCTTAGGAGATAACATAATCAATATTTCTTTAGTAAATAAATTATATATATACCCGACATTTTAAAAAATCATAAAGAAGATCGCAATCAGATGTTTCAAGTTCACAAAACATGCACTAAATCGATTAAAAACGGCAATATCGATTTCCATTTTCTTTCGTCTTAATGCATTTATTTTTCACGTAAAACACTTCCTGAATCCATGGCTGCCTTACACGGCTCTATTCTGTCAGGGATAAATAGTCCTGCTATTCTGTTACGCCAGGAAGACGCAACAAATATTTTTCAAAGAGCGCTTAGCTTTTCGCGCTGCACCTGTGGTGGGGGATTTTCCAGTAACCCTGCAACTTTTCCTTTCAAAATGATTGGGGTGGAGAGAAACCAGACCTGACACCGTGGAGTTGCTGGAAAAAGGGGATAGAAGGGGCAAAAGAAACGACTGCGTAAGTAGGGGCAAATGGGCGTTTGGCTCCCTGTTTCAGGATGTCTTCATTACTATTTCAGATGAAGCACGCAACGTTTGGGAAGCCTAACCCCTGTTTCTTCACGAAAGACATTTAAAAGTCTGAGCAAGCTACACCCACAGCACTATTATCGCGTTCAAGACGAAATAACTTTAGACTCGATGATTAGGAGCTCAGTAAACTAACAAAGAGGACTAAGAAGCCGTCACATACTGCGCAAGATGAATGCATTTTAATTACTCGAGACAAAAGCCCCTGTTGCTAGTTGCTCCTTTTTCAATAATGTACAAATACAGCTCACGTAGTCATTCATTGCACAAAAATAGCACTTAACTCTTATTAAGTATACATAACCAAAAACATAAAATTTGTTGTATTTCAGTGAGATTTAGTTTTTTTCAATAAGCGATACATATTTTTTTACAATAATTTTTCAAAGCAAGATGAGTTTTGTTGATCCGCAGTGGATAAAGTCGAAAAACAGGAGTGGAATTCTTTTCCTTTAAATACATTTAAGGTTATATATAGGACATGGTTTGTTTCTCTCCTGCCACAAGAAAGAGATCAGGTCTTAAAACAGCGAAAATAAATACCTAGCAAGCAGTTTCGGGCCAAATATATCTCCCTCAACTATATAAATAATCAGCACATTTGAATATAAATAAACTTTAGACACGTCCATAATAAATTAAAGAATTAATAGCGCGCAGATTTATATCTTTGTGTGTCAGAAACATAAGAAAAGAATTATTGCGATTCAAATTTAACTTCCGGCTGATCTGATATTTTCCCAAATACTTAATAATACAGTACTACTGATTATTAAACTTTTAATGATTATACAGGTCTGGACATACTCCAGGTCTGGTTTGCTTACTCGAATACGGCAAAGGACACTATGGCTATCTGCCTAAAGCGAGAGATGCGTTCGAGGAGAACGCATCTGCAGGGTTCGAGGGGAAAAAGATAAAAGAAAGTGATCTGTATTCGTGTTACGCATAGAGAAGGGAAAACCATGAAAACTGGAGCTGGATAAATTCGAACTTTAATCCCCATGTTAAATTTTTAACCGTTACATGATTTGAACGGAAGTAGGGATGTCGAGATGTTCAAAAGAAAGCAGCGTCACTAATTAAATAATTTCATATTGAAATATAATAAGTAAATATGCGATACCTTTTAGAATGCGAAAATGGAAGAAGCTCCTGGTTAAAATAATTTAAATTATGGATTTCATTAGATACGCGTAGTGACTTCACATAAACGCTAAGGCATAAAAAGCATCTCAGCATTTTTTAAAGCCTATCGTGCTTTAAGGCTATAAAACTACTCTCGCGGAAAAGCAAACAGTAATTAGTAAAACAGGAGCCTATAAGATTCCTCTCGTAGACATTCTAAAACAAACTGATTCGTATTTATTGCACTAATGGGAAAGAGGAACAAAAATTCCATGCAACCACCACAATAATTCGTCTGGATTTTTTTTTTTTTTAAACCCAAGAAACACCATCACCAGAGAGATTAAAACTGCACTTTTAATCTTGGTTCGAATCTCGGCGAATAGGCTAGTCGTATGGGTGTTCACGTGGTTTTCCTCATGCATAATCTGAAGAACAGCCAGTTTCTTTTGAGAAAGCCCTTTCCGAAGGCATCCTTTCGCTAACGCAGATAGTCTTTGCATGCTTTACTATAATTATCTAAGCACACCCAAGAAAGAACTGCCAAGTCTTAGATGTTTTTAAACCACTTAACAACTGCAAGGTAAAATGTTGAAAAAAATGACGCCAACGAGGATTTAATTTTTATAAAATGGGGCTTCCATTTCAACTTGTACGAGAATTTGCGAAAAATTACGAGGAACCTAAAAAATTGGTATTTGAACTTTATAGCTATACTATACGCACGAAAAGATCTTTTTCTGTGCTTTATAATACAACTCGATGTCCAAAACTATCACATAACTCGTATATCCCTTGCTATTTATTTAAGAAATTGCTTTTTCTCACGGCACGAATGATCCGGGAATAACCACTGAGCAATTTCTTAAAACTCGTATGATAAAGTACCCCAGTAAAATGAATAATTAAGCTTATCTGATATATATGCTGAGGAAAAGCTTTTGTCCTCCACATACTTTCCTGGAATTATCTCACAAGCCGAAATCCGTGCTCCACTTTGTAACCTGTCTACCAAAAACGCAAGTCCGCGTGATGTACGACTGACCATAAAAGAAGTTGAAAATGAAAAGACATATATCAAGAACGAGGCTAAAGCAACACAAGGTTTAAGACATAACCGTTCGAATGCTGAATTCTGAACAATAAAAGAAAGCGTAGGTGTTGCTAAGGTGATTCAACACAAGCTTAAGTGTTTCTGACATGAATGAAGACATACAGCAATGGTGAAAGAATCGTCACAATTTATCAGATGGAAATCTTCAGCTTATTTTGTTGTTATTTACTTCAACGATTGTATTTCTTACGGTGTAAATGATCTGGGAATTGTCGCTGCACATATCAACAAGCATATATGTACTTTCTGGCATTGTTCACACAAGTGGCTTGATAATGATTTGTTACAAGTGACCAAATAATTAGAACAATCAGTAAGGATAATTATTTTCAAAATTTAAAAGCTACGCACATCATTATATTTACACACAGTTGATAGGATTAAAACCAGAATTCAAGAACTTAAATGAACCACTCCAGATCTCGCAAATGAAACTAAACCAACATTTACTCAGAGCAAAACAGTTTTTAAATCACAGAAAAGAAGTAGAATGAAATCATACACACAGTGGGAACATTTTTATAAAATTAAGTACTTTTTCCTTCTTTCCTTAAAAATATTTTTAAAATCCCAGTTTCTCACCGTCTCAAACTCGGCGCGGAGAGCCATGCTGAGGTTAAGAAAAGTGAGGCATTAGCCGCAGATGAAAATTGAGCAAAATTAATCGTTAAAGAATCACCCCATAATCGTGAAATGTTATAAAATACCCATTTTTTAAAATGAAGAGCTTTAACAGTAATTTATTTTTTAAATGAAATGTGCGATCAAAATTCCA